GACTCGATCCCAGGACCCTGGGATCATGACCTGAGCCGAAGGCAGACGCTTAACGACTGAGCCACCCAGGCGCCCCAGGTCACTGATATATTATGCTTAACTAGCAACTGGGTAGTTTTGACAGATGGACATCACTACTCATCATGAGTCCCCAGATATCTGATAGTGGTGGTGTATTATTGGGAAACAGTGATGTTTCTCGAACACCTGTATATTGTAATTTATCCCTCCTTCTTTGGGATGCAATTGGAGAGAACGTCAAGAATTTGGTGGCCATAGTTTGACTGTTAGTGCAAATTGGCACATTGACAAAGCAACCAATTCACGTTTTATGTGATTGTTCTCTTGTTTGAGAAATGGAGAACAGACCAGAATGAGGGAGATTTGTTAAGCACATTGACTCTTCTACCTGTTTAAGAGTGGACCCGGCCTTATCTGCTAACATACCTTCTTAATGTGATTTTCTGAGAATTTTTTCCTAGATTAAGTCAGGATTCAATGAGTGGTGATGAAACTATGCCTTCCTATATCTAATTCACCATATTCCTTAACATAAATAAAATAAGATAAAAACATAGAACCTTAGCATTGGAAAGGACATTGAAATAGTCTGCCAAGATAGATCCTGGGCAAGTTGTTTAATCATAGATGAATTTTCTTCTCCATATAATGAAGGGATTGTGATAGTGATACTCAAATCTTCCTATGCCCTGCTTTTAAGAGGGTTAGAAACTTTATACATATTGCATTAAAATTAAAATTTTAATTGTTTGAATATGTTTCATATATACATGTACATTTCTAAGGTACAAGAAGATAGATTGTGAAAATTAAGTCTCCCACTCACCCCTGTCACTCAGTCTCTTCAGTTACCGGGTTTTTGTGTATTCTTCATAAATAGTCTATGCATATACAGTCATAATCATATTCATTTCCATTTATATATACCTAATACCCTTGCAAATGGTAGTATTTTATATACTGTGTTATATGTTATTTTTTCCACTTATTTATATATTGTATATTGTTCTGAATCAATGTATTTAAGCACTGCTTCATTATTTTAAATGGCTGCATATTATTCCATTTATAGATAGAGGATAATTTATTCATGGATATAGGGTAATTTATTTATGGATGTAAGTACATATTCTTTACAGTCTTTTGATTTTATAAACAATGATATAATTAATACATATCCGTACATATTTCATTTCACATATGTAAAAATATTTCTTTAGGATGAATTCCTAGAACTAAAGTTGTTGGATCAAAGTGTACATTTTAATTGTTTTTGGATATTGCCACACCGCTCTCCATTGAAACTGTAGTGATTTTTACCTCCACAAACAGTGTGTGGGAGTGCCTGTTGGTCTGTTCCTTGCTAACAGAGTATTTTTATAGTTTTATTTTGTCAACATGATTGGTGAAAAATATTATTTCATTGTAGTTTTAATTTGATTTTCTCTCCCTACGAGTGTAGTTTAATATTTTTTTTATGTACTGCAATTCATCACCTTTAAGGAGCCATTGATTCTAAGACTCATCCAGATTTCAGAAATGCTAACATATAACAAGCAAACTTAGAATTGATGAAATACGATATTTGAGCCATATATATTTCCATTTTTGTTAATTTCTTTTATTTATTAATGGCTTGTTGATCTTTTGTATTGATGTCTAAGGGCTTTTATAAATTAAGGAGACTGGCCCTATGTCTGTGATATGTGTTACATTTTGCAATTTTTCATTGCCTATTCTGAATATTTTTTCATGCAGAATATTTTAGTTTTTATGTAGTTAAATTCATTCAGCTTTCCTTTATTAGGTTCTGCAATTGTGTCACTATGAGGAAGGACTTTCCCTCTCTAAGATTAAAAAAATATTTTTCCCAGTTTTTTTCTTACTATTCGATTGTTTTATCTTAGTATTATGTTACTCATCTTTTCATAGTTTTCCAGAATTTTCTTATTATTTTAGCCATTTTTAAACAGTCCGTTTAGTTCTAAATAGCATCTGGTTTATATATTTATTGCAGTCATGCTTGGACTTTCCCTATTAACCAACATGTCATCTGACAATAATAATTTTTACTTCCTCTGTAAAATGTGTATATGTTCCAATTCCTCTCTTATACAATTGCTGACTGGCCTTTCAAGAACAATGTTAAATGATACTGGTGGTAGTGGATGTCTTTGTCTTTTTCCTAAATTGAATGAAAATATCCCCAGTGTTTCTCTGTTATGCATGGGATTGGTTTTTGGGTTGATAGAGGATCATGTTAAGGAAGTATCCATTCAATTCTGTGAAATTATATATGAAAGCAGAATTCTTGAATGTATTTATTATCGAATGCTCTGAGCTTTAGACTTTTTTTTTTTTTTTGAACTCTTAAGGACTGGAAAAGGAGATGAAATAACTCTTCTGAAATGACCCAAACTGTGCTTCATGAAGGTGTTCTGTTAGTGGAAGGGGGACTGACTTTCCATTTGCTCTAGTAAGGGCCACCTTGGTCATTGCATGCAAGACAAGTATGTTAATTATTGCCCCCTCCCCTGCAAATAGCAGAGTTGGCTATTTAACAATATCATTTCTATCTTTATAATGACACTGAGTGCTTAATATAATGAAATATAAAAAATAAATATAATAAATATAATAAAAGAGTGAGAGTGTCCTGTGGCTGGAAAAATGTGCATACCTACACAAAGTTTATAAATGTGTGAGAGAAGTCATTATCTTTGGTTGCCCTTTCTGGAGAGAAATGTCATGGAAAAAGCTGCTCTAAACTAAGGCAAAGATTTCCGTGTCTCCTCTTTTGAACTGTTCAGTTAGTTTTCAGGCTTTGTTTCTAGAAAATTAGGAATTCCTTGACCCACTTTTTCTTTAAAAGCATCACTTTGCTTTTACCTCTAGGCTTGTACTGTGATTCTGTGTTGCCTGGTTGCTTGTACACAAGAGCAAGAAAATGGTCATCAAGTATTTTTGTTGAAATAACCCAATTTTAGAAGGAAGGTGACCTTTCAGGTAATTCTGATAAGATGCCATGTTTCTGTCTCCCACCTTCGCCCCAGGGTCAGCAGGTAAACAGTTTCTTCCAGCTGAAAATATGTTTATACATCCACCCTCTCTCACATGTCTTATAAACCATACACTTCTTCGAGCATGCCATGTCTTCTCCCCTCTGTGACTCAGGACATGTGGTTTCTTATGTTGGCAGTGTTTTCCTTCAATTCCTTTTCTGTTTACCTTTGAAATTTAGCTCAGATGTCATCTCCCGAGAAGCCTTCCCTGGTCACCCCAGTTACTTGCTCCTTCCTCTGTATGCGTTTTGTACATAGTTCACTGTTATTATTTATCACATTGTTGTGCAATTTACTTAGGGAGGCTTCCCTCCATTTTTTTTCAATGAGAAAATTCAACAAATTTTTTGGGTCAACTTGAATAAAAATAGTTTTTGGGGTATAGATGGGATAGTCAAAATCTACCTTTAATGTTTAACTTATTAATTTAGTTATACCTACATGTTGAAAATCACTTGTTATGTAAATGTTATTTAAGGAACATAGCTGTTCTATTCTCATTTTTCATAAGAACAATTTTATTGGCACTAATTACACGTATCTTCATCATGGACCTTTGACATTAATAGGGCTACTCTTTGAGTCATCAGTCCTGATTTTCCAGAGTAAACCATTTAACTTGTTTGAGATCCAGTACTTATTAAACCCATGAATGTTGTTGTCACAAGTATCCACTAATACATTAGGGATGTTCATTTTTTTCATTCATCTCTGCTGGGGTTACATTCATGAATTTCACAATGTAACTACATGCTGTACTACTTTTAAATGTGAACTTCTAAAGTTTTGTTTAGGATGATATTCTGTGCTTAAAAAATGTGAACTTTTGCTCCAGGAATAATTACCATACCCCTGTTAAATTTCCTTTCTTACTGATTCCACTAATTGACCTCGTTCATCTGGTATTGACTGACATGCATTCGGGCTAGTGGGTCTTTCCTAAATAGTAATTCGATATTCGGAATAAAGTAACTTAGAAAATGCCTTCTAAATATGAGAGATTTGTGACTATTGACTTTAAGTGGAATCTCTTTTTTTAAAGTATAATTTTTGATAAAAAATTTGGTAAAAAAATTTCAATTTATACTGAGTATCTATGGTTTGTTTTTGTTTTTGTTTTGAGAACAAGATTTTATCTTATGCTTCTTTTTATTCAGGTACTAATTCTAGTGAGGTTATCTGTTAGAGATTAAAATGATTAATCACTTAATCATTAGATTGTGGGAAGACGGTATAGTGAGAACAATTTTTTTCTGAGAATTGCTTTGAAGTTGGCTAAGTCTAGTTTTTTTTTGTTTAAGATTTTATTTATTTATTTGACTGAGAGAGAGGGAGCACAAGCAGGGGGAGTGGTAGACGGAGAGGGAGAAGAAGGCTCCCCACTAAGCAGGTAGCCCAATGTGAGTCTGGATAGAACTCAGAACTCAGAGATCATGACCCCAGTCGAAGGCAGACACTTAGCAGACTGAGCCACCCAGGTACCCCCTAAATCTAGCTTTGAATTCATGCACAGTATTGACTTCTTATGTGATTTTTAGGTAAGCTCCTTAAACTCAACGAGCCTCAGTTTTCTTTTTCTATAAAAAAGCTGAGGGGCACCTGGATGGCTCAGTTGGTTAAGTGTCTGCCTTTAGCTCAAGTCATGATCCCAGGGTCCTGGGATGGAGCCCCGAGTTGGGCTCCCTGCTCAGTGGGGAGCCTGCTTCTTCCTTTCCCCCTGCTCCTGCTCTCTCTCTCTCTTGCTCACTCTCTCAAATAAATAAATAAAAATCTTTAAAAGAAGCTGAAAATGTAATACCTTACAAAATCGTTATGAAATTAGGAATTGTATGGACATACACACACATACGTACATAGATATGTGCATGTGTGCATGTGTATGTATGAAAGGCCCTCATGATCATTCTCTTCCTCCAGAACTTCTTTTTCTTCTACTGACCCTCCAAAGCACCTTTCCTCAAATTCTCTACCCAACAAGGTCCACAGTTGCCTGATGTTGCTGTCTTGCTTCTGGAGACTCGTTCTGGCCATCTCTTTTCTACAGTACCACTGTACTTCTCCTTCCATTCTCTAGACTCTGGCATCTCAAGAGTGTGGTCTGTGGCCAGCAGTGGCAGCAGCAACACCACCTGGACTCTTGTCGGAGTGCTTCTCAGACTTCCGTGTGTATGTGAATCATCTGAGGATCCTGTAAAAATGCAGATTCTGATTCAGTAGGTCTGGGGTGAAGCCCCAATATGCATTTCTAACCAGCTCCCAGGTGAAAAGGATGTGGTTGGTCCACACTTCAAGTAGCAAGGACAGGGAATGTACCTCTAAGGATTTATTAGAAACTCATTTGCCTGCCTCTGAAGGTATCATTGGAAAGAAATAAAAAGCATATTTTACATATGCAAAGTTTCACAATAGGCTGAGCTCACTCCTCCTCATACCACTTTATGGAAGATGAGTAAAAATTTCCATTAACGGAAAACCTTTTAAACCGGAATATAAATAAGAGCTTTGCTGCTTTCAGTTGGTCAGGGCAAGAAAAGCAAGTTTACGCTGTACCTTGAAATTCCTTTGGATAAAGAGAACAAGTACATTCCAGAGATCTGGGCCCTTCTTAGAAAAGACTGTTACTTTGCTGGGATTTTTACATTGCTGGAGATATGAAAAATGAAAGCCAAATTCAAAGTGCAGCCCAGAACTCACTGCTTGAGGTTTAAAGCCAGTAATATTTTCCCTGTGGAAATCTCTTTGGAAAGGCTTTCAGATCTGAGTCAGCTAGGGTGAACCCATTTTCTGAAATTTTGTTTCTGGAAGCATTTAATTGAAAGGAAAAACCCCAAGAATGCATCCAGAGTTGAATGTCATGCAGGAATTGGGAAGGCCTCGAAATAGCAACAATGGGAATAAATGAAGCCAAATGAAATCTGCAAATTATTAGGTTGAAATTGGTAAGGGGCATAGAAACTTAATAAGAGGGAAGTAAGAGAAGTTAGTTTTCCAATACAAACTGCACTGAGATGTTGTACAAAGGAGGACTGGGAACAAGAAACTTCTGTAAGCTAAAAAGATGGCAAAGGCTAAAAGTTCAGTGGAGACTAGATGCCTCTCATTTTAGTTTGATTTCCTATGAGGGGTTTTAGCCTTAAAAATCCCAGTTAAATGGTAGTCCTCAATGCATTCTCTTACAGTATCTCACAAAAATAGCTCCCAAACCTCAAAGAATATACTCTCAAGAACTTTGAAAATTGACATAGGCAGAAATCTAATTTGCTATTTTGAAGGAACTGGCATTAATCATAAGGCAAATGGGGCTTAGGTAAAGAAATGGACTTACTTTTCAGTTTATGACATATTTAATTTTCCTTTGTTGAAACTGTCTGCCAGAAAAAGAGCTGATGTCCTGAAACTCCTGTACCTCATTCTCCTACCTGACACACACACACACACACACACACACACACACACACACAGAAAACCAGACACCATTTCCTTCTACACAGTTGTGGATGCTCCCATGCAGGAAAACCCTAGAGAGAAATAAAATCAAAGAAAATATTGATAATATGCCAATAAACAAAATATACCAGCACCAAATTATACCAATAAGGTATTCCTATAACAACGGTCACAACCAAATAAAATGATCAAAGTACGAACAACAAGCTTAAAAGAAGTCTGAGAGAAGGAAAATCAAAACTGTCAATCTAAGAGTACATCAAATTGAGTTTAACTCTCCTCTCTACAGATGGTCTCAAATGGAATCAATATTAAAAATTTACAATCTATGGTTTCTAAACTGTATTTTAAAAATTATTAGCTCAAACTTTCTGAAAGAGCGATGTCTTTTACTGCCATCTTTCTTGATTGTCAGACTTCTGGAATCCCCAGTCTCTCAGCTTTGAAGCCCTGGCTCAATAGCAGGCAGACATGGCTGAAAAGAACTCAAGACCTAGAAATTGCCAGGAGAACAGTGTGTTGAGCCCTCTCTCCTGGGCTCCAGCAGCCCTTGCTCACATCTGCTGGTTTATTCCTCAGGTACCATAACAGAACTCAGGAGCACCACCAGCACCCCACTAACCCTGCTTCTCAGCAGTTCCCTGTCTCAGCAAGTAACATAGAACTTTGCCCACTTGAAAGCCAGGCACCCAGGAATTATACTCTGTACTTTCTCCTTTTCCCCACCTCCCACCATCCTCCAAGCCCTGTAGAGTTTGTAGCGTAAATATTTCTTGAATCTATTCCTCTCCATCTTCACTGCTTCCATTCCAGTTCAAGCTTGTCATCACTCAGTTGAGCTCCAATGAAGGCTTCCTAACTAGTCTTTTTATCTTTGCTATTTTTAGTTTATACTTTTTGTTTTAATAGGCAGATCTCTTATTTTTGATTCTTTTGGATTCTTAAAACAACTCTATTGAAATATAATGTACGTACCATAAAATTCACTGGTTTCAGTGTATAATTCAATGATTTTGAAAGCAAATTTAGAGTTGTGCAAGCATTACCAAAATCCTACATTGTTTTCTCAAAATGTTTATAAAAAAAAATTAATATATTCAAAAGTAGAGAGAATAGTGTAATGAGCCCTTATGTACCATCAATGGCCATCAACACATTGTCCATCTTGTTCTGTCTAGACTTCCAACTACTTTCCTCATATACACTGGATTATTTTGAAGCACCTTCTAAATTTAAGATTATTTCATCTGTAAATATTTCAGTATGTATTTTTAAAAGATAAGGACTCCTATGAAAATAAAAAACATCAATACATGATTGCACCTTTAAAAAGCTACCAATAATTCTTTAATGTTACTTGAATGTTCAGTCAGCATATAAATTTCTCTCTCACTTTTTTAATTTTGTACAATTGGTGTGTTTGGATTCAAACAAGGTCCATATATTACAGTTGGCTTGTATGTCTTTTAAGTTTCTCTTAATTCGAAGTTTCTATCTCCCTCTTTTTTTTGTCATTATAATTTATTTATTAAAGAAATCAAATTGTTTATATACTAGAATTTCCCATAGTGTCATTTAATGTGTTCTTCTATCCTTTGGAAATCTATAGTTCTATCTAGAGGACTGATCAGACATAGGTCTGATTTTCTAGAAAGAATGCATTATAGTTGATATCATGAACTTCCATCAGGAGGCACCTTATGTCTGGTTGTACTTATTTTTGTGAAGTTAAGTTTGATGTTTGGATTCAGGTGTTGTCAGCCTGATCTATCCATTTTACAGTTTCTCATCAACCTTCCCTCTAAGAGTTATAGCAGCCATTGATAACCATTGTCTATAGCCAAAAGGCAGCTGCTGTGAACTTTTATTACAAATTAACTTTTTAAAATCAAAATCTGATCATATCTTTCTTTTGCTTAAAACTCTTAGAGGCTTTTCATAGTTCCCTCTCCTTCCTCTTATTGCACATACCGGTGAATCTGATTATAGTCTGGTGGGGTGATTTCATTGTCCACAGATTACTTTGCAAGTCCCATGAGGATGTGGACTGTGTCTCCTATCCCATGTCATTGAAAGCCTAGGACAATGTCTGACAAATACTAGTGCTCATGTGACATTTGTTGGGTGAATGAAATGAGTTAATGAGCTAACAAATTAAATCAAAGGAGGATTACAGCATCTATAAAGAAGGCATGTTGTATGGGGTTTTTTTTCTCTCCTGAATGTGGGAGAATATGGGAAAGGCAAGTAGAGACTGAACAAACCAGAGGGAGCAAAGTCAAGAGGAGCTGGTTTTGGAAGAGTCACAGTGTTTTTGATGGAGGTGACAGTGTGGTCAGAGATGTGGAGTGGTATTTGCTGTTTACAGAGAAGGGGCAGCAGATGGGAATCTTCCTGAAATGCACAGGATGACATTAATGTGTAGGGGGCCAAGTGAGGAGGGATATCCCTGAAATAAGATGTGCTGCGCTCTGTGAATGTGTGAGGCAGCCCTGGGTCCCCTTTCAATGGTCCTTGAAGGTGGCACTGTGATGAGATTAATTTGGGCCAGAGCAGCCCATTCATCTGTTGGTCTGTGGAGCCTCCTGGCCAGACTGTATAGTACCGTGTGAGGCCAATACTATGGAGCATGGAATTTCCTCACATCTGGGGAGACTTGGGCCCTGAAAACACGTGATCTAAGAATTCTGGTTGGGCAAATTAAGGTCTTATAGGAAAATGATATTGAGGGGTGAGGGTCCTCTGAAAGCCTTTATAAATGGTTTATATGTTCACTAAATAAAAGAGTCAAGTCAGTACAATAGACTCTCTGTGTATTTTATATGAGCAAGAATAGAATTGAATGATTCATTTTCATTTATCATTAACTTTAGCTTACTCGCATATTTTCAATATTTCTCTCTTTTTAAAAGGATGCTTACAAGTTTGTTTTGTTTTCTTATCAGTAATATGCCTACTAGGAAGTAGCATTTCTATCCTCTGTGATGTCCTATTCCCTAGAAGGGAAACAGAAAATTGAATACCCATGTGATCAATAAAGAACCTCTCATTTCATGCTCTGTACATATCATGACTGGGTGTACTCTGAAGATTGATCTGAATGTGCGCTGAAATTCTTTCAGGTTAAGGGACAAATATACAGCAGTTGACTATAGCGTGGAAGATTAAAAAAACTAGACTCTGGAGTCAGAATACCTGAGTTTGAATTCAGATTTCACCCCCAATGAGCTGTGTGACCTTGGACAAGTTACTTCACTGCTCTGTGCCTTTGTTTCCTCATCTGTAAAATAGGACAATAACAATAATACTTCACAGTTTTGGAAAAGATTGAATGATTTATTAAAAGTGCTTAGAAGAGTGCCTATTACATAGTAAGAGGTATAAAAGTGATACCTACTAAGACTGATGTGGCTATCTATGAAATAAATCCTTTCCTATGAGAATTGTACCTATAGGGGATCCGAAGAGTGAGGGATGCTCACTGTCCCTAATAACCTGTAGATGCCTGTGGATAAAAGTACCTCAGCAGTGGCTT